TGCTTGGGTACTGCCCCCACCCAGCTACAGTTCGATTGCAAATATAATATGTATATATGGGTTTAGGGTTCAGGGTTGAAGGAGCTATATGGGGGTTAATAAGGTCTCATAGGGTGGAGGAGGGGCACCTTTAGGTAGATAGCATTGTAGCCCTTGACTTGCCCTCGTACTTTTGGAAGCTTTGTATAGGGGCATGTAGGAGATATATAGGTATATAAAGGGTTTTGAGTCTTGGTGTGTTTGGGTTCCTTGCACCTTGGAATTTCTGGGGGTTCTTTCCTGAGTTCTTCTGAGCTTTCTAAGGTACAAGGCCTTTCGGGGATGGGTCTTCGGCAAGGCCTCACAGCTCAAAATCTTGCAATAGACTCCAAAAGCCTTAAATCCTCAACTTTATTCCGTTGGCATGCAGCTGCCTGTCCGACTCGGAGGCCTACGATGCGTACCGGAACCGCATGATCAAGGGCCCACGGCGAAATCCTATGTTGGCTACAGAGGCAGGCCGTGAGCTGAATTAGGCTGAGGGGGTCCCAGATCCTGATGAGAGGCTTTTCTAGGTTCTCTTACAGAACTTTGGTATAACCTACCTCAAGTAGACCTCCAAATAGCCTAGTAATTATTCAGGCCCCTGCATTTCATTCTGCAGGGTGTAGAGTTGGCTTTTGCTGCTGCTGCTGCTGCTGCTGCCGCCCAATCTATTTTGGCGTAAAAATGTGTATACATATAGCCCTGAGCCCCAAACCTAATGTTTCCACCTAGAGTCCTTGTAAAATTCTAGGGTACCACAGGTAGACCAAAGTGATGTTGGTAATTTTTTTGGCCTCTGCATTACAGAATCGCGAAAAACCTATCGTAACACCGTGTACATGTCATTTCCATTTCTTTTCCAGTTGAGTCCCCATTGCTCGTAACCCGAAACCCCTAATGCCTAAACTCCAAGCCCTAAATCCTAAAACCCAAGCCCTAAGCCCCAAGCCCTCAACCTCAGCCCCCCATCCCCCAAACGGCTCTTTCGAAAGGTGGGGCGTGTAGCCACAGCAGTGCTCCACTCGGCGCTGAGCGCCGGGCTCCGGCAGGCAAGGACTAGCTGACAAGGTAGTAGTAATAGCAGTAAATGGCAACAATGGTATCATACTAATGGTATTAATAGTAGCAGTAATAACTGTAATATTAGCAGAAACAATAATAATGATCAAGTTCGAGTGTGGGGCCGTTTAAGGCTTGGGGTCTGATGTTTAGGTGACAATAATAAACCCCCTCCCCCCCAGAACTTGTTCGCGATTTGGGCTTACGGAAAAGGGGGAGTCGCAATAATAAATGACGGAAATGGGTAGGACCAGGTAGCGCAGCTCGTAATACTAGTAGCGCAAGTGGACAAGTAGAAGGGAATCTATTAAAATCAGGACGTTTCCGGCCGGACAATTATATTATTGCCACCCCTTTATTATTGGGATTTGGACTTGTCTGTATATTTTCGGGCTCCGAACTTGTTAGAAAGCAAATTTGATTGTCCGGGATTTCCCCGGGCCGGCAACAAAACGCTATCGTCACCGCTTTAACATTAGTGTTTGGCGGTGTAGGGTAAAATGTATGGTGTTTGGGTTCAGGGTTTGAGGGTTTGCAGTTTAGGGTTTGGGGCTCAGAGTCTGGGATATAGGGGGTGGGATTTAAGGTTTCGAGCTTGGGGTTGAGGGTGTAGCAGTGTCTCAGAATACGTGGGGGGGTGGATTACGCAGGCTGCTGGGTGCTTTAAATGGCTTTAAATGGGGCCTCTGTTTTCTGGAGAGGTACATGAGGTTCCTTGTTGTGGTACAAAGGGTAGATGTGGATGTTGTAGGAGTAGATGTGGTTTCTGTAGGGTGGGTCTCTCTCAGAAAAAAGACTACGCATAGAGACAGTAGGTGCATGTGGGGATGACAAGGGAGAAAACGGAGGTGCGAAACAGGGATTGCATAGGTCGTTTTGATAGGAACTGCCCAACTGTCAAAGGAGCCTCCTTCATTTCAAGAAGCGCCCAAGCCGGGTACAGATTGCTTTGGATTTTCGGGGGTATACTGCAGGTAGGTAAGATGATCACGTTTGGGAGAGGTACGGCGAATTTGAGTTTTGCGGTCTGCGATAAGCAAATATGAGATTTTTGCCATGATGCAATGGAAGTTTTTGTTGGAGGGCTTCCAGGCCTAGCTTACTTAAGATGGGAGCAAATTTGGGACAGCAATCGCATCCTGAATCCTCCCGTGTCGATGTAGTTTGCAAAGAATGGGCTCCGTTCCTTGAAAGCACATGATAGCCCGACAAAGGTGATATATGTTTTGGATGGTTATCACCAACACCGTTGTCATCATCATGAATGAAATACCTTAGAGAAGTATCTGCAACCACGCAGACCCCATTAAAGGGTAGTTGAGGGGTCCTGGTCACGGTAGACCCCCAAGCCCAAAACCCTAAAGCCTAAACCCGTAGAGACAAGGTCCGGTAACAAAAATCAACAAAATTGTAGTTTCCCAAAATCGGGGGACCCCAATGTAAACTATAGACCCCCAAATACTATAATCCTTATTATTGGGACCCTCAAAAAGGTACCCCAAATTTTGGGAAACTCCCAACTATGACCAGGGCGTGGACCCAGCTGCAGAGCAGCCCTTGAGACGCTGGGTTAAGAGCGCTTGCTTACTCAGCAACCTGCCTGAGAGGGAAGAGAATCTGTAGGGAGCATGTAAGGACGGGATCATGTAGCAAGTCCATAGGGAGGAGTAAGAAGGGAGGTACATAAGAATAAGCTGAGTATGTTCGGCGACCTGGCTGTGCAATGGTTGATTTTGGATGGAAAGTGGCTCTCAACGTCAGAGATCTTTTATACTTGTTGCGGGGCCACAGGCTTCTGCATACGACTGCGAACGGGTTTCTTTCCTATCATTAGGAGGGAGGGGGCCATAGCAAACAAGGATATCCCGTCCGTTTTAGCATAGGAGCTATAGTCTAAACTCCGAGTATCCCCCTTAATAAGCCCTATAGTACTCCCCTATACAGTCCCCCTATATAACCCCTCTTTAAGGAGTTTAGGCTGTAGCTCATATGGACAGGTGCCTGATTGGCATGCCTGCGAACCCATCGTGACATAGGTCCCTGCCAAGTCAGGATGGGTGCTCCAAGCACCTCTTCTGACTAAACAGACCCCTTTGTTGCCATTCTATATAGGGTAATATAGGGTTATATAGGGATAATGGCAAGGAAAATGGAAACTACTGTGTAGATATTCTATAATAACCCCTATATAGACCCCGCTTTCCATCTCATATTGCATTTTCCTTTCCATTTGATCGGGGGTTCTTGTGACTGACTTTTCTGTAGACATGTCGATCTTGTGCAACCCTGTTAAGCACTTGTTGTTCTGGCCTAGACAATAAACCTGCATGGCGCATGAGATAGCATCTGTCTTCAGCAAGGCGTTTGCCGCCAAAACTTTGACGAGCCGCGAGTGCTCACCCGCATGCTCATGAGACTTGGTCGGGAAGATTTGTTCCCACGGGTAGCTCAAAGCCGTTCTCATGCTCAACATGATGTCCTCCTTGAATATGTCATGATGTCCTCGTTGAATATGTGCACGCTGCAGATTCTGCTGATCCGCAGCAATGTTGCAAAGTGGCGGATGATAGCCTTGTGTTTGTGAAAGAGCTGCACAAACTGGGGCCGTGGTGCTAGGAGCCTTTCCGACAGAGGGCTTCAAGAGCTGCGGAAGAAGCAGAAGGACTTTTTTTCATCATCTTCGGAGTGGGCCAGCTACTGTGTAGATTCAGATTCTGTGAGGCCTTGTCTGAAAAGGGGTCCAACGACTCGAGCATGGTTGACTCGTGTGCTTGTTTTAACGTTGCGGAAGTCTAGTCGAGGGTTTCTACTTAAATAGTTTGGAAGATGCGGCAGGAGCTTCAGAAAATGCGGAACGGATCATGCCTTATGAGCTTGACTATCTTCCAGGACGACGTCATCGTGTGCCCTCAGCTCCTGAGCGCGTCCACCAACCCCTCGTATGTCGACAAGTACCTCTTCCTTGGCGCTGCAAACATGGAACAGCATGCCATCCTCACAATCCGCATCCCGGCCGGTGTAAAGCCTAAAGACCTGGACGCTGGGCCCTTTTCAAGGTACTTTGTACAGGCTTGGGGAAAGCTACCGATGTTAGGTTCTTCACCAGTCTTAGATTGGACTGATTGAAATCCAGCCAATAGTCCGGAACCGCAACACACAACTCAATTCCGAACCTGTATTTATTATGGTCTGACGGCAGCTCATGAACGTACTGATGCAAGGTAGGGCCCGGTAGAGCCTTTGTACAGAGGAGCGTCCCATCCTAAATCCTCGCTTCGAGATTTGCAGGTAGATACGAGTAGGGTTCCAAGTGCCCCAAACTTGCAACTTGTCTTTGAACTTCCCATGAAGCTCCACGCGAAGTCTATACTTCCGCGGGAACCAGCGCATCCTTCAGCTTACATTGGCTGCCTTCGTGCCGGCATAGAGTCATGTTTTTAGACTGCGGTTCTTTGAGTAGCTTGGCGCAAGGTACTGACACGTGCGTGCAGGTTTCTCGTAAAGAAAACAGTGCCAAGTGGAGATTCATGTAAAGATTTCAAAGATCCTTCGGGGAAACTGTTTCGGGGTCTGTAGGTCTATAAGGAAAACATAGCGGAAGTGTTTCCATGAATTATGACCGATTCAGCAACACAATTTGATCAAATACCCAAAACTGCAAACTGGTGAGGGCCAAACCCACCAAACCCCAAGTGTCCGCAGAAGCTTCCATCCCATGCCCTTCTCCTCATTTAAGAAGCTCCCTTCCCGCAACAACCCACAGCCTCAGATGAACAGTAGTCTACATGGGCAAAGCATAGTGCCCAAGAAAGTTCCAGAGTCTTCCTGGGTATAGTATCTATAAGAGAAGCATACTCATGCTCGCTTTAACCACCGAAAAGCAGAGACTCAGTTGATCTACGCTAGCATCCGAAGGAACGTATTCTTGCTATGCGGGCGGAGGTTTGTAACATGATTCGACAGGGAGTGGTCCCGTACTGGTTGTTATTATGGAGTAGAGGTGTGGATTACTGTAATAGTTCTCGTAGACCTCAATACCGTAATCATGCAGTTTCCATCTTCTTTTCCGCATCTTCAATCTGTACTAACCACTGGTAAGCCCTAAATCATGCAATCCCAGTTTCCAGTTCCTTTTCCATACGATTGTCCATGTGATGCTCCAGCATTCTACTTAAACTGGCCCCCTAAACCCTCTCTACCCCTGCATTCCCTATATGTCCCCGGAATTCCCTCCATATTTCCTATCGAGCAACGTTCGAACAAAGGCAACGTCACAGAGTGCCTGGATTTGGCCGCCCTTAGCCAGTATCCCGACGAGCAGGACGGCGCATGTTGAAGCTTCAACGCTTAGTTCCTAGATTGGGTTTCTGTTGCAGGGGCTAAAAACCTCTTTCTAGGGGTTATATAGGCGTGAACTGAGGTTAATGAAATAATTGAGATAGTGTTTCGGGTAAAGTGGACAAAATAGAAGCTGGAAGGTGAACTGGGCTTTTTCATCTAGCCGCCATAACGGGATTCAATCAGGCAAAACTATCTAAGTTGCTGTTATATGAAACCAGCTTGCTGTTAAGAATCTTGAAGCTTAGATTGTACTGAAGATGGTTTTCTTTTCTCATGATAGATCTTCGCAAGGCACCGTAGCTTCTTTGGCAGAATTTCAGGGCAGACGGAATTAAGTTGACATGATATGGATCTTGGTTCAAGTTCCTGAACGGCAACCCACTAAACTTACTGGTGGGTTTGTCGGTACTGTGGGAACGAAGGAAAAATCCATAGATGTATTTATTCGGGAGTACATGGAGATACCAAAGGGACATCTCTAAAGTTGGGCTAGTGCTGCAGTTCAAAGTAGCCTGCAGAGTACATGCACCCGGTTCTGGTAGGACCTTACCAGGGTAGAACACGGTGCCCGAGTGAGCTTTGCGTACACGCAACCCACAGCTAGTAAGATCACTGATGTAAGAACAGTTATTTGAATGGAATCATAAGAGTGATAGTACGTGTAATATTCTGATCACCTGTACTATAAACCGTATAACTGGCCAGAGAATAGCGTGTGTCTATGGTAGTGTAGCAGTATAACAGTGTATAACAGTGGAAAGTAATAGTAACACAAGTCTGGGCACATCCACGTCCAGGGGGCCAAGGTCTCAGTGCGGAAAGACCTTCCAGAGTTCGAGGGCAAATACACAGGTAAGGGTTTGGAGGGGGTTCGGGAGCGGCCAAAAATGATGTTAGGGGGCTTTAGAGCTTAGCGGCAGGAAGCATTCTGCCCACAGTAACATCAGACAATTGAGTGTACATGCGCATATTCATTCATTTCGCTCCCTTTGAGAGCGACCAAGGTGTTCAACCCTAAGCCCTGAGCCCTAAAACTGAAACCCTAAACCCTAAACGGGGTTCACTACAGATCTTCCCATGCCACTGAATCTGCAGCAGGAAGTGCTGCTGCCCCTGCTGTCGGTGCTGCGTGTTGAGGAGGCCATGTCGAGCCGTTGCACACAGACTCTCAACAACTGCTAAAGTGTTTATCGTAGCTTGCAGAGTTTGGGGTGAGGCCAACTATGCACGGTTTCCCTTTCATCTTTAGCTATCGAAGTTGCCTTCTCCCAGTGCCAGCGCGATTAGTTAAGCTGATGTCAACCTGTGGTCTCATGGAAAGAAGGATCGAGTCGTTCTCGCTGTTGTTTTTCTATGGATCTCTGCCCCCAAACCGAAGGGCAAGATTGGCCACGAGCGGAAGTTTTCTTGAAACTCTGCAGCCCCTAGGTATATGCATCATACGAAAGGCGCCTTGGCCATTTCAAAAGAACTTCTGGAAACATACCTCTCAGACACCACAAGCCTCCTCTAGGCCCGCAGATCAGCTACCTGCCCCCAAACCAACATTATCCCCCCCATGTATTTGTTGAAGGTAACTGGTATACGTAGGCCCTCTTTAAAGGTACCATGTTGGTTGGAGAGAGAGAGAGAGAGATAGAGAGAGTTGCATGACTTTCCCTTTGCACATCACACTCTCCACCACAGCAGGTGTCTGCAGAACCTGGACAGGCCTTGCGAATCTCCTGCCAGTTCCAAGGCGCATGACGACAACTGAAAGTTTGGTTTAGGGTGGATGTGAAAGAGCTTGAAGAAAGTCACCAGGGTAAGGTCAGGCATTAAATAGAGTATTTTTCACATTAGCTTGGTTTAAGTTGTGCCAATTCAGAAAGGGTCTGCTACGAAGGTTGGACTTTGCAAGTTCGCAGCCCTAAACACCAAGTGGTAGGCGCCATCGTTTGCAAGTTCCTGTAGACCTGTGGTGTATGTGCATGTGCATGTATATATATATATACACACACATGTATCTCTATAATGACTTGGCGGTTCATGTGTAGTTCTATGTGAGGTTATAGTTTGCATAGTTATGAAAGCAACTCAATTACGGCTTTTCCGCAGGACCTTGGACGTTTTAATCTTCTTGAAAAGTACGGACGTTCTCCTTTTGGGATTTCTCTCATTACTTTGCGGCCTCAACCGTACACCCTAAACCCTAGAATCCTAAAACCCTGGACCCCTGACTCCTACAACCCTAAAGCCCTGAAACCCGTAAATCCCACAACCCTAAACCCTAAACACCCCAAACACCCGAAACGCCCTAAACCCTAAACACCCAAAGCACCCTGGGCACCCCAAACACCCTAAGCACCATAAACCCGGGAGGCTCCATGATGAGTAGCCGGCTGCGTGCTGCCTGCCTCTCAGACCTGGCCATGGCTTCCTACGAGCTGCTGCAAGGCTTTTGGGGTTTCAGGGGGCTTTGGGGTTTAGGGGCTTCAGGGGTTTCTGGGTTTGGGTTTTAGGGTGCACGAGTTTCGGGAGTTTACGGTTTAAGGTTTCAAGGGTAGACATTTCGGGGGATCGATTGCGGAGATACTTTGAGGAACTCCCATGTGAAGGAATATGGGGACCATGAAGCAAAAATGATGATAGTTGGACCACTCTAGACTCTAGGGATCTTTCTTCCATTCCTGCTGTCTACTTACTAACCAGCAGTAGTGCTGCTTCCGCACAGACGAATAAAAGCACACTTGAGCGCTTGCAGACTTCTACATGGGGGAGGAAGCGTGCTAGAAATGCTCATCAGCTTCAATTGGGGGTGGTCCTATGTTAGATGATAATGCAACCCAGAAATATCTCTGGCATCTGACAACCCCTCTTGAGTACTGCCCCCACTCATTAACAGCTAGATAGTATTCATAATACATATATAGAGCCCTGAATCTGACCCCCTGCTACTGGGTTGGAGCGGGGCCCCATGCAGAACAGGTATCCAACCATTGCCCGAGAAGACTTTGGACCTGACTCTCTCGGTGCGCGCTTCGGCTGTCAAATCCGTTGCATGACTTTGGAATCCAAAAGGGTTTAGGTGTTAGGAGGGGAGCCTGTAGTCTCCTTACGAATCATTTTTAACTTCTATTATAGTATAACCCCCAGTCATTCAAAATATCATTTTCTTATTGTAGGTCTAAGGAGACTACAGGATCAGGCGCCCTTTACGAGTGTCCCAACACGAAGCCATACTCGGGCCCTGATGTATGGAACCTCCCCATTGCAGAGGAACCCAGGCGTTTTTAGACTGCTTACATACCCCTTGATAGACTCTATGGCAATTCCTGTTGATAGTTCTTGTCTAGTTCCTAAACAATACCGCCTCTAAGTTTTCAATGAAGTCAAGCAATCCTCGATCCCTTTGCTAAGCCGTCCTTCAACTAAGAACGCCCTGGCGACCTCACGGCTGAGCCTCATCAGTGCCTCGAAATCATTGAGAGTTTATGGTTTGGGCTTGGGGGTCAGGAGCTTGTTTCTTTTGGTGGTAACCTTCAGGATCGCCGGGATTCGCCTTGGCACCCGCCATCTCAATAGTTGACCTTCTTTGTATGTAGCCCCGCATCCAATCCTGAAACATGTGAAACATAGAGTACCGGGTACCTGCAATAGACCTCAAAATGATATTGGTAATTGTGTAGGCCCCTAGATTGAGCCCGTACAAGCCGCCCTGCTGCCAATGCAGCCGCATCAAGACTTACAATTCGATATCCTACAGCCATCATTGGCCAAAGCATACCAACCTCACCCGACCTCACCGTAAACGACGGTTCATATTTTACGCGTGGGAAATAATCCCAGAGTTGCTTAATTTCAAGTTCCGGAGCTGTTCTGCAAAGACCTCTATCCTTCTGTTTGATCTCTTCTCTTCAAGCTTAAGGTTTGCAGATGCCCAGGAGCCTGCATCCCATTCTCTGAGATAAACAGGAGTTGGCATACCTGAGGGCTCAAAGGTAGTTGGGGATACAGAAAGGGGGTAAGTTTGGTCATTTTGGTCATACACGAACTAGGTGACCTATAACCACTTACAGCTACACATGAACATTGGAGCACGCCCAACTACGCCCAATTATGCACAACTCAGGTACACGCCCAAGGTCTTCCAGTCTTTGGTCACAATCTTCGAAGCCATCGACCGGCGGGGCGCCTGGATGATCAGCCGGGCAGACTACACATGGGCCCAGGACGGGTTTGGGGCTCAGGGGTGGGTGTACGGGTTTGGTGATGAAAATCACGGAGATGAGGGTTGAGGGTTTCAGATAGGCTTCCTGAGTAAAGGTGCAAGAAGCTTTTGCGGGTGCTTACCATCCTTCCTTCAAGCGGGCTCCAACACGGGCAGCTGCCCCCACCCCAACCCAGCAAATTGCGGAGGTTTCTTTGAGCTCTTGCAATTATAGAGTGTGAGTGAGAGGGTGAGGGCGTGGGTCAGCTCTTGACCCAGCTAAGCAAGCAGCAAGGCCTGCCAGCCATTTCGTGCCACCCAAGCGGAGGCCTGTGAGAATTTTGTGGTTCTCCACTTGAAGGTCACCCTATAGGGTACTACCTAGTGCGTTCTTCCAGGTTCTGTCTTGCATCTATTTAGGTAGTTTATAGGGCATATTCCAGAAAAAGTTGAAAAAGGGAGGACGTCCAAACGTCACCTTCGTTGGGCAATGCGCAGCCATATGTTGGTTTCTCGCCGATGCCCGTGCAGATATTACGCCGCCCATGGCCTGCGAAAGGATTTGCGATTCTTGTGCACAGCAGGCTTTTCCCATCCTCTTGTAAGCAGGTCCCTTGTTCTTGTGTCCTCGCAGTGAAGTTCCGGCCGGCATGAATGGAGACGTGAGGCTTTGGAATTGGGGTTCAAGGTACTGGATGACAAGCATATGCTCTGGGACCTGGCATCGCGAGTCGAAGTCTTCACGTGCCCTGCTCACAAACCCGGTTCCTAAATCCTTTGAGATGCCTCAATTTTCAAGCTTTCGCTCATTGGTGTAGTTCTCGCAATAAATCAGGTAGAGCCTCAAAATTGACGACCCCCTTTTGAAAGCCCACCTTTGATGAGAAATTCACCCTCCGGGATGGGTTCCGCTCCAATCAAACCTGGATCCTGTGACGGCCTGGAGGTGGATGATTTGGCTTTGCTTGAGCAAATACAAAGTGAGTATCTATATACAAATATGTATACATATGTGATTCCTTGTCCAGTAGGCAACCCCTGGTTTTCTGGGTACTACGCAGCCCATCATAAGGCAAAAGGTTTTTGCATGAAAAAGTCCAAGACAATGGAACGCTCAGAATGTGTGTTGCAGTGTTACTCTCTGACTTGGTACAAGTTTTGCAAAGGTTGCATCTTTATCTCTTGTTATCAAATGGATGCTGTCGACATGACTTTCCAAGCCCACGCCCTCCCTCCTGAAGGAAGTTCTGGCGAGGACGCAACCCGTGCGCTTCTGAAGCTAAGGGAATGGTCAACGTCTGGAGTTTTGTTGTGATTCAGATGGTTGGGAGATGGTTGCGAGCTAAGTAGCAGTGCCTGCCTCTAAAACTTTCAGAGCCACGTCGGAGATTGAGACCCTCAAGAGCCAGGGGTTCCCGTAATATCTCCCTACGGCAAGTTAAGGCTAAACAGGGTAAGGGCTTGCAGTTTAGGGGGGGTAGTCGTGGAACCCATGGAACAAAATCAAGACTGTTGTTGTTCATCCTCAAGCAGTTAGGCTAATGTCGTCCTACTCCCAAACAGCCTGCACGTGATATAACCCCCTACAAAAGCACTGTTTATGCTTTCCAGGGCTTCAATAATGTCGGACAGGAGCTTTGGAGTCAAGCGCGTGCTGCGCAAACTGACTACGCACCTGGCCGCAAAACTTTGCATATAGGCAGCTGGAATACGAGGATAGGAACCTTACCTGGGTTATGAAAATCCTCTCATTAAATGGGATCGCAGCATATACATGTAGACAGCTTTGCTTAAGTTTGCATTCGAATGGCAGCTGTTCTTGGAGCTCTCACTGGCAGTTCCTTGCGGGAGGATTCAGGGATTCCTTGGAGAATGTGCCCAGGTACTGCAAAAAAGCTAGCAGGCCTCCTTGTTTTCCTGTGCTACAAGACACCACAAGTCTAGCCAGAGATGCCTTGAGGTACTTTGCCAAGAGCAACGTTGACCTGACCTTGCATCGCTACTTCCTCCTGTCCATGCCCGGTGCGACCGTGCGCTGGCTGCGGATTGGTGGAGTCGGGTTTGTTACCTGTTTCCTTTTTGGGATACTATAGAACGTACACGTCTACCTTCCTTCTTGGGCTTAAGAACAAAGAGAGAAAGGGCAAGAATAGTGGTCTGGAGGGAGGTCCCAGCTTTGGGCTCGGTAGGTTCCAAATGAACGCAAAATACATGTGTAGACATCACTAAGGGCCCTACCACCAGCAGAACTTTGCCGGGGGGTTCAAAAGCTTCCTGGGGGGTTGCAGGACCTTCGCGGGGTTTGTAGAGCCCTGCTTGGGGGTTAGTAGAGACCGTTTTCAGAACCCTGTTTGGTGGTTCGGTGAATCCTCTGGGGTTCGGCTCATTACCTTCGGCTAACCTCTTGTGGGTTCGACAAACTTCGGCTTACCCTAGGGGGCGGACTCACAGAGAGGTGTGCGCATAACATTCTCCTACACATAGTGGTTGGAGGGCTCTGGGCAACTTACCTCCACCCCAAACTGACATAGAAGCCCATGTAATGTCAAGAACAGCAATCTATAAGGGACCCCGTTTCAGCCTCCATGTTTGTTTGGGTGACTTGTAAGACTTTTCTGGCTAAATCGGACTTGTCAGGGTGTCAACCATACTTCGTGTCCAATGGAGATGGAGCGCTTTCAGAGCGCTATCCCCAACAAGGACCGCTGCCCAGAATCCCCTTGTTATCCCGTATCCGGGAATCTCCTTCTTCATTCAGTTCTCCACTGAGGATGCGCAGCTCGAGCGCGCCTTCCGCTGGACCGCCCGCTTCCTTCGCAAACACCAGCGGCAAGAGGATGGGTTCAAGGTGCTGTTGAGACGACGCAGGGTAGAGCTTGGTAGAAAGACGTAGGCCCAGCATGGCCCAGCATACGACAGCAGAGTCCTTTTTAGGATGTAAGGTTTAGGCTGCTTTGCTGTCAGAGAAGACCTTTGAAGAGAAGATGTTTTGAACATTGCGCACCTATCCCAAAAGCATTACTTGATGTCACCCGCTGGCACGGCACAGTCAATCTGCCAGAGCACTGTTCCAAACGGGTCGCGGGACTAGGCATGCTTGGTGGCATTGCATGCGCTTGAATCGCCTTTACCCTTACTAGTACTGTCAGCAACGGCTTCTTACATCCCAACCCTAAACCCTGAACCATGAATCTCAAAACTCGCATGAGAGGCCTCGCCGGACTCTCCGTGCGGGTCACCCGCGCTCCTGGCAAGTCTTGGGCAGTCGTGGGGGCTTCTCAAACTTATGAGCCTCCTGCAGGATCATAAGCTGGCAGCTAACTTATGTTGAGTCGTATTCAGGGCGACTTCTTCTGTCGCTGTTGTCCAGGCGCTGAAGGCAACGTGACATTTCTGAAGCAGCACTGGCACATGTTATGGTGATGAGTTGGAGACGGATTCACTGTTTGGCATATTGCCGCATTTATGCTTAGTACATGGTCGGGGGTAGGCCTGAAGACATGCCAAAACGTCGACATACCGAAAACATCCTACAGCTGCAGTGCAAACTCTCTGAACGCCCACCGCGCTTGATCCAGCTACATGGTTGTCCTAAACATCGTGCATCTATCCGCTCGGCTGGGGTGCCCTCGATCTCTGCAACCAAGAGCCCCCCAAAAATCTGAACTTAGGCCCAGGCGCCTGCAGCGTGCATCAGTTGGGAATTTCCAGCGTAAGGGTTTGCCCGTACATACGGCCAAAGTCTTGTCATCCTGACTATGGCTATCGTTAGAGATGGCCCCCAGTGTGCTCGGACACTCGAAGCCGTACAAGCCACTGCGCAAACCCGTTTTCCATTTCATGATGCATGTTTTTCTTGTGAGTTTCCACATACATAAATATAGATACATATGTAGATTTACATGTATGTGTGTGCATGCCTGTATACCACCATATAACCCTATGAGCCAAGATAGTTAAAGCCCATCCTAACAGGTCACTCCGCAGCTCGAACTCGAGGTTGCTCGGGATTTTGGGGCTTTGGGAAAGCAAAACACGTGTTGATTACAGTGCTGTCTAGGTGTGTATAATAGGGAGATATATTGTGTACTGTATAGAGGAGACTCCTGAAATTTGGACATTCAGCTTGAAAGGGTTGTAGAATTTTGGGGTATGCAAGGGGCATCCCCCTATATGAAGGACTGTACTGTAGTATTTTGGGGGGTACGTACGGGGGACCCCGATTTCGGAAATGTTCATTGACTTTCGAAGCTGTGTTGGGGTGCCGTTGGGCTCTGGCCCTGGGACAGTATGCCTGCCCCACAGACTATGGAGCCTTGTGTGCTAGCAAATCATGGGTTAGCTGCAACAGATCTACTGGGTTGCTGTCAAGGAGCTTAAATACAGTTGCCACAGCGTGGGTATGCAGCAAGTAGTTGGGGTTCCTTGTTATAACGATCAAGTATGTAATTATTCTTCTTGCCGTCATTACTCAGTACTACGCTTATTATTGCTATTAGTTCCATTTCTTTTAGTACTACTATTGTGATTATGGACTTAATCCATTTTCCTTGACATCAGCCCAGTCTATAGACTTGCTACGGGGGGGCGAACCAGCAAATGACATCACCGAGAGAGATGGGGTTGGCTTTATAGGGGGTATATAGGGATATCTAGGATTTCTAGGATTTAGGGATAGTAGGGGGGAATGAAAGAGCAGAATATGCAATCTACTATGTAGGGTGTAGCGTTCGGGTTTTGGGGTTTACGGATATCTCCCCACTCGGACAAAAAAGAAATGGAAGCTGGCATTGCATTGCATTTATATCGATTAGGCCGTCCAAAACCTTTCCGGCCCCTTGTGAGAGTCGGTCCCCACATTGAATGCATGCAAAGGGGCCATTTTGTAAAGAACAGATGTAGATCGACCGCACCTAGGATTGTGTGAAGCACTCCACTGGAAGCTACTTACTGGTGCTTAAGGGAAAGTGGATCCTTATAACAATCCCTATATAGTCTCCATTTATACCCCTAGAATAATCCTTATATTCATTCCCCCACTCCCCCCTTGAGCACCAGTACGTCTAGAGCATGACATCTTGCAGATGGAACGCCCTGCAGCCTTGTTCTCGAAGGCTGCCTCTCCAACTACGCCGGAGCGCTCCGCATGGTGACAAGCCCCGGGAATCGTGGTAACAGTTTGGATCCCTTTGCGGAAGTCTGTATGGTAAGGATCTGGTTGTTGGCGGTTTGTGCGGAGTCTCCTTAAGATACAGCTGTACCAGGCGCAATGAGATGACATATGCTGTGGTTGGACAAGCACGGAGCTTGGCAGTAGAGGAAGACTATGTCAGATGTTCCTGCATGGCACATGAAGCTACCCAGCATAATCGTCCATGCTGGTCTGGTCTTGATAAATACCACACAATATCGTAGGCGTGGAAGACAATGATCCGTATGCCAGTATTCTGCTCAGCGTTGATCCAGTCATTCCTTGCTTGAGTGAGAGCAGCCCACCGCAATATGCAGGATGCCTCCAGACTTGTGGAAGAAGCAACTGTTTGGTGAGTTTTTGGACCGCTTGCGCTTGAGGGCTGAAGGCATTTTGGGATCCAAGAGGAGCCCACCTTAAGTTGCGAACGTACCCTACTCAGGATGCAGCGACGAATGGCTGCTGATAATGAGTTAGATGCAGCTCTAAGCTGCTGTGGCACGAGCACCCTGCCCTCCCTTGCTTCAGCCAGCATGTCTTCGTGGAACTGGGTATCAAGCAGCCCCACATGCACGTCACACCAAGGATGCCGTGAATGTAAATGTGTGGGGAGCTCACACCGAAGGTTTTCCTATGTCAGCTGCAAGGAGGGGGGGTGTATGCCGCCAAGTAATTACCTGCTAAGGCTCTGAGAGCAATACCTACTCGACACTTGTTGAAAATCTAGTTGGAAGGAATCTTTTTCCTAAATAGGGGGACCCCATATAGACCCCAAGATACCACTATCCTTGTCATGGGGACCCTCTGTAGGAAGCCCCTTAATTTCGTATATGCTGCAGAGTGCTCCTGGAGCCACAGCAGGATCATGTCAATGCGCTCCCCAAGTCACGGAAGGTGCGCAACAAGGTCCGCTTGGGCTCAGTTGAGCGCTTCCGGTCTTGGGCTTACTGTTAGAGACCTGCGGTTGTTCGCTCAATCTGGAACAACTGCCATTCACTTGTAGTTGGAGTATGGCTGAGCAGATGCCAGCACCTCCCCAGCGATGCTCGGCTACAGGAATGATGTTATTGAACAGCCTATGGGATGGCAAAGCTACCCTGGGCTGTGTTTATCTCTTGAGGAGATGGCGTGTGGTGAGCAAGCCTCCAAGAGCTTTTCCGGCTCCCGTAGGGACACGTTGAGCTTGGAGAGCCTTACATTGCAAAAGAAGCGCATGGGTGTGTGTGCCGATGGTTTCGATTGAATCTTGCAACTTGGCGCAGAAGTGCCCGTTGCAACATGTGCAGGAAGCTAAGACTGAGGTCCGGAACCCTGATCTTTTCAACCTGGCATGTCCATGGCTACCCCGACACTGCATGAGGTTGGCCCGGCAAGCTGCGGTGTGCTGACGTGCTGGGCGTCATCTGTATGGCCACAGAGGCCAACGGCAAAAAGCATCAGACTTCTTTGGGATTCATATATCAGATGAAGAGGATTATGAATTCTCAAATAATAGGATCATTGATATTCGAATCTTATAGATTAGAATGATAAATATTCATCAAAATGAATTTGATAAATAATTGAATCATCAATTTAAGATATTATTCGGATTCATTGATATGAATATTCAGAATTTGATTATTTCCTATTCTTAAAAATTCTTCAAAACAGATGTCCCTTGTATACCAGACTTCATTGAAGTAGGACCCAGAAAGCTCCGAGTTCAGGGCAAATGCGACGTATCCCGGCGCATGCACGCACATGTCTTCCAAAGGATCCAACATGGATGTTTCTGTCGCAGCCAGAAACTCGCCGGTTTCTCTTGTCACTTTGCTTGGGCTGACCCTCCCTGTTCTCAGCGCTTCTCCTCTCTCACTGCGTCCGCCTGGCAACAGCAATAGAGATCATTAAGTGGAAGTAGTGATAAGGTATAAAGGGAAGGCGTTGTGTGTCGTGGATGCTTTGCATCTGTGAGGTGCGAACAACCTGCACGGCGGTCATTCTTTTTCTTGTGTGTGCTAGAGAGCTGGTACATACCCAAAAAAACAGTCCAAAGCTCAGATCAACCTTGCGGAGGATTTGCGGAGGGATTCACCATGTACATAGAAGTCCCAGCCGCATGCGGTGGTAGGAGGAAAGCAGAAACCCTATACCGTCCCACCCTTGTGAGGTATAGTCGAAAGTCCTGAAAGGGAGGTATATAATGGACTATATAGGGGACTACTACAGGCGTTATTAAGGGGGATACTAGGAGTCTAGACTATGGCTCATGCACAGCAAAACTCCCAAACATAATTCCCTTCTGCTTGCCATCTCCACTCAAGCCCACCAGCGGAGACCTTGGTTTTACTCCTTGGCCGGCTTGTTCGAGACCTTTTTGCACACTATCTCGGCTAGAGACCCAAATCAGCAGCTATCACTCAGCGTGACCCTGGAAACATGAGGTCTATCATATTTAAAGATGCCGCTGCCATTTTCCGCCGCTTAGACGAGCAGCCGGGCATGTCTTGGCCCCAGTTGGGCACGTAGAGCGAGAGGACATCCACGATTTGCCGATGTTTGTTGCGGTTCCTCATGAAGCCAGACTCAGCAAACTACGAGACGTGACTCTGTCGGGTAATAGGGAGCACTGCTGTACTTCCTGGTGGTGACGGTGGTGGAGGCGGCGGCGGTGGTGGGGCTGTGTTCACGGTCTTAAGGTCATAGAGAACTGCAAAAGCCCAACACAAGTGCCAGAGATTATCCTCAAATGAATCCTTGCGCAACTGAAGCTGTCGAGGCGGCGTCTCAAGCGCAAGCTCAGCGATGCCCAGACGCTGACGCACCAGGAGGCGTTGGACTTTAAAGCTTGAGTGGTTTTTTCCAACCATTAGGGTGGCGGTTAAGCAGAAGGACTACAAACAAGCTGGGGTATAGAAGGGATATGCCTTTTTAAGGAAACTCCCCAGCGTTATGCATTTAGAGCAATAGCCCTTGGATTCCTGATGGTTTCCAGGCGGCCTCACTTGGACTTAGTGAGTACTTGGAACTGGGGATATAACCCTACTATTACTTGGGATAACCTAAATGACTCCGGTTAGGAGGCTGTAAGCGGGTTACGGTGCATGCCTGAAAGTTGGAAGATGCTAAACGGAGCGGTTGGACACAGTATCCAATCTTCTGACTCGTTTTTTGTTGAATGGAAGCCCTAGCCTGGACGAAATCGACATAAGGAGTCTTCCAACTTTGTATTTTTGGGACTTTGGGCCCTGCATGCCCACCCGCCGCAGCCCGGCCGCCGCGCCCGCCCCGCCACCAAGCCTTGCGCATCCTGTGAGCTCCGACTGAGGTCTTAAGGTCGAGCAAGGCTATCTGGTTGTCAGCAGGGAAAAAAGGTGGATGAATCCCCATAGCAGTCTCTCCGTAGTCCCTGCGATATCGCTATTAGTAACTGTACAGAGCCCTGTGACCTGTTCCTTAATTCCCCACTAACAACTAGTAAGGAAAGGAGGGAACTGAACCTTGCATTTCAAACCCCAAACTACTAAACCCGAAACCCTGAACCTCAATCCTCAAAACCCGAATCTCAATTCCTAAATGGCAATCTCAATCCCTAAGCTCCCTATCTCAATCCTTAAGCCTTAAATCTCATGTCCATAATGTCCATATACCCTAAATGGTAGTTTCCCAAAACAAGGGGACCCCAATACAGACCCCAAAATACTATAATCCTTATTATGGGGACCCCCAAAAGGGTACCCTTAATTTTGGGAAAGCCCTAAAGCTTCTGGAAGCGACAGGTCTTTCGGCTCGTCCAGGAGAGGAAGATCCACGAGGCGGAGGAGCCAGTCGCGGTCCCCAAAGGTCCATGTGGGGGTTTCCCAAATTTAGGGGTACCTTTTTGGGGGTCCCCATACTAAGGACCATAGTGTATTAGGGTCTATATTGGGGTCCCCTTATTCAGGAAAACTACCATGTAGGTATGTAGGAACTAATATGGTACATACCTCGGGCCAATGATATGGTATGGACCCTTTCGAGGGTGAATGATCTTTGCAAGAATACAGGTGACAGGAGCAGGTGTTATGGTAGGCATATTATTCATCCTGCGTTTGATGAGGATAGCCTACGACTAGCAGCTAGAAGGGCATTGATAGTAAGCCAATCCTAAGTCTTGGACTCTTCCAGTGGCCAGAAGGCAATGGGAGTAGTGGGGCTTGATCTCATGTCGCTCGCAGACGATCTCGCAGCAACAGTCAGCAACTGGCAGGAATGTCCCGGCTGACAAGCGTGGCCTAGAATATACAAACAGAGCGACGCTGCACAGCAGAACCATCCCAGACCCCTGGGAGGATCTAGAAAGTAGAGCCCCCAATATGGTACCCTATACTACTATTGGTTAATTCCTAGGACCCCTTAAGGGGTCAGAACCTTCAGGGTCAGGACGCACATGCGCGCTGCCAGTGCTATGGCGGCTCAAGAGCAGGCCTTCTGTTCAATTTGCCAAGACAGGCGGGACTCTGGGACTCGCCAACTATGCATTGGGTTTAGGGTTTAGGGTGTAGGGTTTAGGGTTTAGGGTAGTAGGGAATGGGGGAATGGATTATAGGGACTATTATTAGGGATTGTATAGGGACTACAAAAGGGATCCATTCCCCCATTCCCTACTAAGCACCAGGGAGACTATGCATGCGTAGGTTTTCGAGGGGCTTCGGCCTTGTAACCATCCATAGCGAGACTTTGAGGGCTCGTCCGCTATGCCTGGTTTCGCTGATCCCCGGGGAGTTTCGGAAGGGGCCGCTTGTCATACACCTCATAACTCAACCCATATGGGAACCTGAAACTTGCTCTCAAAATAATCTCCAGAGCACTTGCAATCTAAAGTGCCACAGGCTACAGGTAAAGTAGGTTTCCATCAATCTCCTGGCAGGGCTCGGCAGATGCTTCAGGCAGAGTGCGGTCACCGCTTTTGTGCAGAATGCGTGCCAGGATCTAAGCGGG